AGCGCGCACCTGTAGTTCCAGCTACCTAGAAGGCTGAGGCGGAAGGATCACTGGAGCCCAGCAGGTCGAGGCTGCGGTGGCTGGGAGCGGCCACTGCACTCCAGCCTGGGCGACAGAGTGAGACTCCAACTCAAAAAACAAAAAAACAAAAAAAACAATAACTAGGAAAACTGATAAACTGAACACCAAAATTTAAAAACTTGGCCAGGCATGGTAGCTCATGTCTGTAATCCTAGCACTTTGGGAGGCGGGAGGCAGAGGTGGGAGGATAGCTTGAGCCCAGGAGTTCAAGACTAGCCCAGGCAACATATTAAGACTTCATCTCTACAAAAAAATCAAAATATCTGCCAGGCGTGGCAGCGTGCACCTGTAGTTCCAGCTACTCAGGAGCCTGAGGCAGAAGGATTACTGAAATCCAGGAGGTCAAGGCTACAGGTGAGCCATGATCGTGCTACCACATTCCCAGCCTGGGTTCAGAGTGAGATCCCCAACTCTAAAATTTCTTTCAAAAATTTAAAAACTTTTGCTATGTGAATACCCTGTTAAATATATGAAAAAGACAAGCCACAGAGTAGGAGAAAATATGTATAAACCATATATGTGACAAAGACTTATACCTAGAACATATAATCAAATCTCAAAAATATCCAGTAAGGAAATGGGTAAAAGACACGATGACAGGTTTTACCCAAAAGAATATACAGATGGCATGAAAAGATGTTCCAAAGCTTCTAAAGAAATAAAAAGTAAAACTACAATAAGATATCACTACACACCTATCAGAATAAAGAAAAAAAGAAATAGACCAGGTACAGTGTTTCATGCCTGTAATCCCAGCACTTTGGGAGGCAAAGCTGAGAGGACTGCTTGAGTCCAGGTGTTCCAGACCATTCTGGGCAACTTGGTGAGACTTCGTCTCTACAATAAATAAAAAAAAATTAGCTGGGTGTGGTGGTGCTCGCCTGTAGTTCCAGCTACTTGGAAGGCTGAGGTGGAAGGATCGCCTGAGCTCAGCAGGTCCAGGCTGTAGTAGCCATGAACGTTCCACAGCATTCCAGCCTGGGTGACCGAATGAGACTCTGACCACTGCAGCCTCGACCGGCTGGGCTCCAGCAATCCCAGCACCCGACCACCGCAGCCTCGACCTGCTGGGCTCCGGCGATCCTTCTGCCTCAGCCTTCTGAGTAGCCGGAATTACAGGCATGCGCTACCACGCCCGGCTGATTTTTTTTATTTATTGTAGAGATGAGGTCTCGCCTGCCCAGGCGGGTCTCGAACACGTGGGCTCAGGCAATCTACTCACCTCAGCCTCCCAAAGGCGCAGGATTACAGGTTGAGCCGCCGAGCCCGATTAAGATTCTTTTTTAAAAATAATTATGGGTGAGAATGCAGAGACACTGAATCAGCCGTGTATTGCTGGTAGGATGTCAAATAGTATGACCACTCTAGAAAATAATTTGTCTATTTCTTGCAAAACTAAGCTCACAACTACCATTTGACCTAGCAATTGCACTCATGAGCATTTATCCCAGAGAAATAAAAACGTATGGTCATGCAAAAACCTACCCACAATCAGTTATATAGCAACTGTTTTATTTTATTTTTTAAAAACAGACCAAAAGTGGAATCAACCCAGATGTCCATCAGCTGCTGCATGGTTAAACAAGTTATATAGTACATCCATAGCAATGACTGAGCAATTAAAAAGGACCAAACTACTGATACAACAATCTGATTAATAACCAGAGAATAATGTTGAGTAAAAAAAGTCAGCCCCAAAATATTATATATGGCATGATTCAATCTATATAACATTCTTTAAATGACAAAACTGTGAAATGGGAAATATTTTAGTAGTTGTTTGTAATTAAGAAGGGGTTGGGAATGGAAGGAAAATAGGTGTGACCCTAACATGGCAACAAAAGAACGCTTGTGGTATGGAAATATCCTGCATCTTGACTTTACCTACAGAAATGTCCTGCTGTGATACTGTACATGGATGGCCTTGGCAGGTCACTTTTACTCAGTTTTATCACTGAAGAAAACTGAGTAAAAGGTCCAGAAAATTTACCTGTATTGTTTCCTACAACTATATGTGAAAAATCTACAATTACCTCAAAATAAATTAAGTTTAATTTAACAAATAAAACAAACATCTTAAAAAGGAAAGGCTCTTCACCTGCTGATCCTGCAATACCTGGTCTGTGTTCATCTACTGCTATGCCCTCCCTTTTACTCATCATTCAAATCAAACTCCTTTATCTTGGATTACTTGATTCTTATTTCATATAGCTAATACTACTCAAATGAAATTACTCTTGCTAAAGTCAATGGCAATCTTCCAGCTGAAAAACGAAATGAAAACTTGCTAGTTTTTTATTTATATAGCCTCTAAGTATTTGACACTGATGGCTACTCTTCCATAAAAACTCTCTCACGCTGGGCTCGGTGGCTCAGCCTGTAATCCCGCGCCTTTGGGAGGCTGAGGTGAGTGGATTGCCTGTGCCCGCGGGTTCGCGA